ACCCAACTGCTTCTCCTTTCAGTTCTCATATTCCCTGGTTCAGTCCCAGGTGCATTGGCCAAGATGATGTCCATCATCTCCTCTAAAACAACAAGCAAACAAACAAAGGAGATGCTCTCCTTCACACCCCCCTCCAATAAAGTGCCTTCAGCAGCTAAAACCAAATCCCAAATATCGAAGACTTATAATGACATCGTGAGAGTTAGCAAGGCAGCAGCTCCCCTGGTGATTATAACAACACCGGTGCTTGAGAAGAGTCTTCGCTTCAAGGCATCTGGAATTGCTCTTGCAAGATCCATTGTCAAATGAGCTTTTTCCTTTGTTTAAAAATGTCAGCCCAAAGACCCCTGCCAGAGTGGTGGTATAGCCTGCTTGGGTTCACTCTGGCTCCCACAAGGCTTCAACAGTCCTCTTTGCCCCTCCTTGTCTCCAGGCTTAATTAGGAAATCATTTATCTTTATTGGCACTCTCTTTCCCCTGCTGCTTTGGCATTACTGGGTTTTGTTTTTTTTGCCTTCATTCCAGTGCAGTGAGCTGTACAGGGAAGACCACAGCCCCATTCATTGTGGGTGGGGAATAATCTACAACTGGGAGCCCTACAAGGAAGACCCCAGCAATGAATCTGCTCAAGTGGCATCGCCTGAGGGACTACTGTACAGAAACAGGAGAGGAGGGCATCCCCTGGCTCCACTTACAGGCTAACAATAGGGATTCCTGGTGATACTGAAAGTAGGACACTACTCCCAAGGGATGTCATATGGTCAGCCTGTCCCAAACTGAACTGCCAGCCCTCTCCAATCTAATGATACGCCTACTTCATCACCCCAAGCAGTGTCCCTTGGTAGAAGAGCACACAAAGGGAAAGGGCTGTAAGGACAGGCACAGCTCAGGGACTACCAGGCTCCTGGGCTCCAGCTGAACATCTGCACGTCCCAGGCTGAGCCTCAAGCATGACTTCAAGAGGGGAAGGTTCTCTACACCTCCACAATCAAAAATTCCCTCTTCTTCCTCCACAGCTGGCATTTGGCCATTTGCCAGGATAGTCAGAAAGTCAAAATCCAGCCTGAACTTCTTGGGAGCCACCAGCCTCCATCAGACCTCAGACACACTCAGCCAAAGATGGCATTGCTTTGGCAGCTTGTGGGGAGAGCCATTCACTAGGTGCACTTCCTCTACCACAGGCAATTCTTTCTGGGAAATTTCTCTGGGTTCCCTATCAACTGTGTTTTATTTAAATGGAGACAGAGATAAAATTCCAGCCAATAATTTCTTCCACCTTAAAGATCTTTCCCCTTCGTGCAAGCCAGGCTTGCCCCAGCTTGCCACTAATTACAGATGGAACATGAAGTTCAGAAAGGAGGAATCAGAATTGTTCCCCTCCCTCCAGCAAATATCCATTGAAAAAAACCTGACTCCTTTGCCTGATGGCACCAGAAGTTTTGCCGATAAGTTTAAAAAGAAGAGGGAAAATGATTGATAGAAAAGCTGAAGAGCTGACATGCAGCTAAGTGCTCTCTCCTCCTTACAACATATACATCCCTTATCTTGAAAGAGATCCCCTGTTCTAGAGATCAGAGGAAAACCTGATCACAAAAAAAAAAAAGTGCTTCAGTCATACTTTCTAGTTAGAAACCTCAAGGCTCTTTAAACACACGGGGAGGAAAGCCAGGAATGAATCACAGAGGGCAACCATGTTCTTTCACCCATCCTAACCCTCTGCATGCTAAAGATCTCAGAGCTGGAGACGGATTTCAGCTGTGCCCAGCCCTACCAGGGCCTCACGGGGCCAAGGGGAACACTGTGGACATCACTTTGCTGGAGGGCTCCTTTTGCCTGGCTCCAGCAGAAAACTCTCTCAGGTCTTTGGATTACACCTCTAAAGGAATGATCCTGTGCACCTGGCCAGGTCCTGCACAGCCTGAGGAGGTTTTGCCTGTGAAGGTCCCTCCCCAGAGCTCCATTTCTGGCCCTCTGAAATGCCCACTCGGAGCTGAAAGGAAGCGCAGAGGATTATCTGGAGACCAGTGTTATCTCTAAGTGGAGCCAGATGTATAAATCCCATTATTGTTAAAATAATCATTATAGAATAGGATCTCCTTTCAGAGATTTACAGTTTGGGATGCTTATCCTTCCCTGGAGTGCCCTCCCAACACGCTGGCAGTGATGGCCTACACCCATATCACATGTCCCTCCACTCAGCTTGGCCCCACCAGCTGCATAATGAAGACATCAAAGTCATGAGGGCTCCCTCAACCCTCAGCCTGCTCTGAGCAGTTTTTGGTGTTTGTTCCATGCAGTCAGGACCAGAGGGAGGCAGGTCCAATGCCAGTGGACACTCTGCCTCCAGGTTTTCAGCTCTGGGGCCCAGCAAACCCGGTGCAGGGGACAGAGATGGGAATGCCAGGGTGGGTGTGCACAGACCCATCCAGACCCTCTCAGGAAGTGTTCCTGCACTGCTAAACAAGGGGCAAATGCTCCCTGAGGGGTCATTATCTCACAACTGTCCCACAGAATGACAGAATCATTTTGGTTGGAGGAGCCCTCTGAGATCACCGAGTCCAACCATTCCCCCAGCACTGCCAAGGCCACCAATAAACCAGGGCCACAAACGAGATGTGCCCCAAGTGTCCCTAAGTGACACATCTACACATTTTTTGAACGCTTCCACCACTTCCCTGGGCAGCCTGTCCCGATGCCTGACCACTGTTTCAGTGAAGATGTTTTCCCTAATATCCAAACCCTCCTTGGCACAGCTTGAGGCCATTTCCTTTTGTTCCTGCTCAGCAGCTGCTTGAGTCCAGTCTCCATAGCCTTGGTCCCAGCATAAGAAAGGAACATTTTAATAGCAGCAGGGAGCAGAAGTTGGGATGGGAAGTGATTTTGGGGATGCTTTGGGCTCACACCTTTGCTGCTGAGGGAGTCTCAGACACTGGAGGAGGCAGCTTTCCTTAAAATGTTTATCCATGGGCCTATTTTGCCAGCAGGAAGCCCTTCCAGCACCACACATCTTTGGCCTCTCACTGGAGAGGCAAACTCCTGTTGCCATGGAAACTGGTAAATGGAAAATTGTGACTTGACAGCAGTGTCCTGAGGAAAGTGGACCACCTGTCTTCCATTTGCTTCTGTCCCTGGCCCAGAGACCGCGTGTCCCCCCTGCATCACTGGGGGTGGGATGCCATCCTGTCACTTCATGCTGGACACAGGCTGCCAGGAGGCGAGGAAGGAGTGGGGAGCGCTGTGGGAGGATCCCTCTACCCAGCTGGGTGTCTGGGCAGGGGCTGGCTGCTCTCCAGCTCCCAGGGCCATTGCTGCCCAGCACCCCGTCACTGCAGAGCGTGCTGCAGGGATTGCCCCAGGGCACCCCAGCCCCAGCAGCCACTGCTGAACAACCAAGGCCACACGAGTGACCAGGGCCACAAAAAACAAGGAGGGCAGCAGAGTGAGGCAGGCACAGCTCTGCCCAGAGAGCCCTTCCTGAGCAGACAGCACCCAGTTATCCTGCACCCACTGCCCACCTCTCTGCCTCATCCCAAAACAGCCACAAGTCCTAGAATTATCACAAAGGAGGTCAACCATCTGGGGTGTGACTCTGAAACCAAACCCAACAGGACTGAAATTAAATTAGAGCTATTGGCAACGCCCCGTTCAAGCACTGACTGATTTTTCTAACTGACTTGTAGTGGCTTTTAAATTTTAAAATTGCTACTTTATCTAGTCCATAATGAGCTTTTATTCACACACCCAGAACATAAGTTAGCAAAGAATTAGGATCAAATTTTCCAAGGGGTCAGGCAGTTGCAAGCTGACTGTTGCTGGCTAGGTTGGGATGTATGAATGCAAGCACTGTTGTGACTATGGAATAATTTTAAGATACATCCTATTGTAGATATTGGGCCTTGAGAAATATCAACATGTATTCATTTAAACCCATTCCCAGTGAGAATGCCTGAGCTTGGTCACTGGGGCCTCTTTCTCCAGGTGTTTTAGCACCTGAGGGTGACCTGAGAGCCACCTGAGAGCTTTGCTGGGTGGGCACATTTTTTGCCCTGGGTGGACAGATGAAAGGATTTGCACAAGACAAGGTCTCTGCAGGTGACCATGACCCCTGGTCAGTGTTGTGAGGTACTCTTGCATCTCAGCCCTGCCCAATGTGGAGGAGAGAAGATGGATTTGGGATCTCATTAATGCATGTAAATATCTCCAAGGGATGTCAAAGGGTGGTGTCAGACTCTTTTCAGTGGTGCCCATTGACAGGACCAGGAGCAAGGGCCACAAAGTAAACCATGAAAAGTTCCATCTCAATATGAGGAAGAACTTCTTTACACTGAGGATGGCAGAACACTGCAACAGCTGTCCAGGGAGGGTGTGGAGTCTCCCTCTCTGGAGATATTCCAACGTCACCCAGACACTTTCCTGTGTCACCTGTTCCAGGTGACCCTGCCTTGGCAGGGGGTTGGACTGGATGATCTCCAGGGGTCCCTCCCAGCCCTAACTGGTCATTCTGTGATTTTTCAGTGGCCTTAGATGCTTCTGTGTCCATCTAAACCCAGGAGGGAACAAACCAATTCCTCACAAAGCCCTGCTGCTGAGCACTGGGGTGACAGCTGGGTTTGGGTACCTTCTGCATCCAACCCTTAAACACAGAGCAGGAGCCACCCCAGGCAACCTGAGCTGCCCTGAGCTACCAGGGAAACCCTGTCTGCCCACATCCCAGGACACCTGTCTCAGGTACCCAGTGCCTCCCTGACCCCAGGACAGCCCCTCTACAAACCCAGCATCTTCCCTGGGCATGCCCTGCCCCTCTCCCCACTGCTCTCTGAGGACCCTGGGGATCTTGCTTGCTCTCCCAGGTGTGGTACCGGGGCTGAGCCCAGTCCTGTGGCTCTGAGGGAGCCCCTCAGTGCTGCTCAGCAGTGATTTGGGGAGCACAGCAGCACCTCCAGCCAGATGGCCCCAGACCCTGAGTGAGCAGAGGCAGATCAGCCCTGTGTCATACTTACTTCCCATTCCCATACTTGATCCGGATGTCTTTGCTCTTCTTCAGCTCTTTCCCATCTTTAAACCATTTGTAGGATGGCTGAGGGTTTCCAGCAGTCGCCTCACATTTCAGGGAGATCTTCTCACCCACATGAACGTTTGGGCTTTTCAGTTTCTTCAGTTTGGGAGGAACAGCTATGGAAAGAGAAAGGGGACACTGTGAAAGCTGCCCCTCTCAGAGCTGTGCACCCACAGCAGCCCCCCGAGCCCCCTCCCCTGGGCAAAGCTCCTGCTGCCCCCTGCCCTGGGATGAGGGAGAGGGGCTGTGCAGGGAAACCAGCACACAGGGAAGGAGCACGGAGTCAGAAACACCCACATGGGGAACAGAGGGAGCCCCCAGCTCTGGAGGCCCCACATGACCAGGTTTGGTGGTTCCACAGCAGCCCTACCCTCGCAGCTCCGTGTCTCCTGTCCCTGCAGAGGTTTGCTGAGCTCCCACCTCGCGCAAGCTCAAGCTCTTCAGAGATTATTTGTCCCCTGCTCCTTGCCATTTCTGCTGCAGATTACCTCTATGGTTTCCACAGGCGTGCTGCCAGTCCCACAGCCCCAGCCAGGATGTTTTACTGCAGATGGAGCAGAGGCAGGTCACAGGGAGCAGCGCCCTGTGCCCCAGATGCTCTGTCCCTGCTGCAAAGACCTTGTTTAGCACATCAGCAGAGCACTGAGAGGGGCTGCAAGAACAGCCTGCATGTGTGAGGGGTGAGAAGGGGAGGGACAGCCATTCTTCAGGCTGCAAGAAGAAAAATGAAAGAATAGGTATTTTAAATGGTTTTATGCCAGCAGTGTCAGGCTGGCCAGCAGCCTTTCCAGCCTGGAGCCTGGCTCTGCATGTGGGTGTTTCAGAGAGGTGATTTTTACCATGCACCTGGAACATCAGACAGAGAGGGAGACACTTCTTATCAATCTCTGCCAGGCTTTATATTAAACCTGACAAGAAAGGATTAGCAGGCTCGCAATTTTTCTTTCAGCTGACAGCTCTGCACTCTTCTAGCTCCCTTTTTCTTTCTCAGCCTTAACCTTAAAAAAGGAAACGGCAACTGGCTGATTTTGCCTTAAGAATACTGGTGCCAATGGTTTCCCCTTGTCTGAGATGTGTTACAGATAGAGAATTTCCTCTTTCTAATATGCACAAACCACCTTCTAATTGCTTTGTGCATTCTTGTGAAATGGCAGAGCACTCAAAGGCAAGGGGACTGGATGGGTTTCCTCAGAGCAATCACTGTTTTACAGACCTTTGTATGTCTCCTCTAGTTCTTCATGCCAAGCTAAGTTAGTGTAGGTTGATAGTATTTAAAGACTGTTCTCACCAGAAGGGATTTTACATGAAATAATAAAAAGCACAGCGATCGTCAGGAATGTGCTCCTGTGGTAGGAAGCTCTCAGGACTCTCATATTCCTCATGGGAGTGAGAAGCTAAACTGTCCTTAATCAAAAGGATCCCAGCATGGATAGAAATGGAACAGTTCAGGACAACAGGAATTAGCCAAAGCTCAGTGACTGAAAGGCAAGCCCAGGGCTGGTCCCAGGCACATCAGACCTTGAGGCTGCTGCCCAGAGCAGCTGTGGCTGCCCCTGGATCCCTGGAAGTGTCCAAGGCCAGGTTGAACAGGGCTTGGAGCAACCTGGGATAGTGGAAGGGGGTTGGAATGAGTTTAAGGTTTTTTTAAGGTTTATTCAACCCAAACCATTCCATGACTCTAATGGGACAGGGACAGCATGGACACATTGGGTCAGCTGCAGCCCGTTGTTGAAGGCTGTGCATTGACATCTCTCACTGCTTCCCAGGTCACTGTGCTTTGGCACAGAGATTTCTGACCAGAAATTATCTCAGCTTTCACCAAATTTTCTGTGAAAGTCCGAATGTCGTGCTGCAATGCACATGCCATGGGTTTTGTGAAGCCCATACCCCTGATCCTTGCCTGGAAATGGGTTGCCCAGAAGAGCTGGAAGGCAGCGAAGGGAGAAGAGAGCTGGTCTCTTCTCAGAACAGTGCACAGAGGGCCAGGAAGGTAAACAGGACCTTGCTTTTATAGGGGTCATTTTGGGGAATAGAGAAATAGACTCTCAAATATTTATTCTGCCTGAATGTGTGTGTCAGTTAGCTCCTAATGTACCCCGAGGTCACCCTGTCCCATGCCAGCATTATCCATACACCTTAAATACAGGGAAGGTCCTGACCTTGGCATGGCTGCATCTGCCTCATTTTGTTTCCAGCCTGGTGGTCTGCAGAATTAAGAAGCAGGCAGCATATGGACATAATGAGGGCTAATTTGGACAGAGATACCAGTCACTGAAGGGACAACTCTTGTCCCATTTCAGAGAAGCCACAGGTGTGAAGAATTCTGATATTTTATAAGCTAGAACCAGTAGTAAGATGTAAAGAAGTTCTACTGGTGTTAAAACTGATATAACTGAGCCTTGGGGGAGAAAGAATATTCTCTTCTCATCTCCCTTCTATGGGACTGCTTCCCTTAGTTCTATGTAAGAGAAACTGCAAACTGCTGGCAGAAAGGGGTGTCAGCCCTGCCCCTCCACCAAAATTCTGGCAGAGCAAACCCCAGAAACCTGAAGCCTGTGGAAGAAGAGGGCCAAGAAAAAGCAAGGAATTTTCCATCATCTCCCCACCAACATGAATCACATCTCACCTAAAACTCTGCACATGCAGAGTGATGATTACAGGACATTCCTAAGTGGGCAGATCCAAAAAAACCAGAGTTGACACACACAGACGGCATCCCACCCCTCCAGCAGAGAGTCCTGCCCAGAAAAAGGGAGGAGAACATCTTTCCACCCCAGTCTACATGTTTTTGGTGTCTCACTACAGGAGGGAAAGAGACAGTGTATTCAGCTCCAGGCCACACTTCATGGACTCCATGGACTGCAACTCCCCAGCTGAATCAGACTGAGCAGTGAAAGGGGAATCCAAGCCCAAAATATTCTGGACTGTGTCTGGGAAAAGGTCTGAGCACCAAGTGGCAGAGCTGTGCTCCCTGACACATCTGTGCCCTTTCTGCTGCACTGCAGCAGGGCTTGTGCTTGGACAGCAGCGTGGGAAGAGCAGGCAGAGCCCCAAGCCTGGGAAACAGCATCCACAGCCTTGCTCTGGGCAAAAGGGAAGCCTGGCCTTGGTCTCTGGGAAGGGCTGCTCTGGGCTGGAAAGCCTCACTTCATAATTCCTGCAGCTTTCAGAAAAACACAGAAATCTTCATTTAGAGCCATTCACTGCCGATGACTCTGCTTAATTCCAGACAAAGACTTTCCTCTGGCTTTTACTCGTAAAAAGTTTAAACTGCAGCTCTTATTCATAGTCTGAACTTCTCTAACTTTGGCTTCCAGCCAGGAGATCTCTGCCTTTCTCTGGTAAATTTGAATCCCATCTAGCAACCAGAAACCCCTTCCCTTTTTAGGTACTTGTAAACTATGACTGAATCACCTTTCAACCTTCTCCAGCAGTAAACTAAAGTAGCTTGAGAGACCAGAGCAGCACATGGAGTGCTAATACTGGAGTATGTCAAAGTTTTACATTTAGGTACATATTCAGCTGTTGACCCATTTCCCATCTCTGCCCTGTCCAAATCACAGAGTTGCAGATCAGAAAATCATGAGTTTAGTTCAAAAATATCAGAGGATTGATTTGATTGCCCCCTTTTGTAGTTCTCTGAGCATTTGGGGTCATTTTAATCTCCTCCTTGTTTGATACTTTTCCCAGCATACTGGAAAAACAAAGTCACTAGCTTCACACTTATCAAAATAGCACACTATGCTGGGCAAACAGCTTCAGATATGCACCAAGCAGGGTCCAGGTCTAATTCATTATGATTCCATCAATTCCCATCCTTCCAGCTTCCTCCACACAGGCAGGGCCAGTAGAGCTTCTGTCAGAGCCAAAACACGGGCCCAGGTCACCCAAGTCACCCATCACCCTGAGCAGGCTGAGCTGAAGCTGCAGTTTCAGCTCCTCACCCATGGAACAGCCCTGCCAGCTGTGATCTCCTCCACAGCTGGACTGGCAACACCCCCAGCTCAGCCCCCACTGCTGCCAAGCTCACCAAAAAGGGTTTTGGCTCTGCTGTCAGACTGAAGCTGCAGCTTAGGATCTGTATCCCTGGTCACCTTGCAATTCTGTCAACCTCCCCCACCTCCATCCAGATTTGTGTCTCCTCTCCATGGGGTGAAGCACCACCAGCCTCACAATGCCTGAGGTGTTGCACAGAAGAGCCAGATGTATTTCCAGGCAATTTTTCTAAGCAGCAACCACGTCAAGGGTATGTCGTGCTGCAAAAATGAAGTTTAATCCTGGTAGAGCTGAGACCAACAATAAATACACATTTTCTACAGATTTTTGCTCACTCCAAGGTCAGATGAAACCCAAGCAACCATTGGATCCCATCCTACACTAGATGTGAGAGCTGTACAAATTAACCCTGAAACATGCCAGAGATAAATGCACACAATTTCCAAACTTGTTTTAAGAGCCATGTTTGACAAAAAAACCTTTGCAGGAAAGGTTTGTCCTCTGATATCAGTCCTGGCATCTGCTGCTTTCTCACAGAGAGGAGAGGGTTACAAAAGTCTGAAACACTGAGCTCTAAACTACACAAAATGAGTTGTTTGAACATCCACCATAAAAGGACTTAGATGTACACACTGCTTTAATTAATTCACTTCTGATTACACTTGATATAACACCGAAGTACCTTGATGATAACAACACCTCTTTTACTTCTGGTACCTGCAGTATGCCTGCAAGCACCTCAGAGCCTCAACTCAAAACATCATTAATCATCCTCGGGCAGAGTGCCCAAACAGAGTCCAACAATGGACTGGTGACAAAACCACATCCCACCCACCGAGCATCCTACATAAACAACCCCTCTGCAGCAAAAAGCAGGAGCACTCATCCTGGGAAAGGTGCTCCATGAGCTCTGGGACAGCCACAGACGCTGCTCCCCAAGCCATGGGGATGCTCCACACAGACACATCTGGGATCTCTGGAGAGATGATGTCATGAGGAGATGGGATTTCTCATTCCTGGCCTCCTCCAAGGGCTGCAGTGTGAGCCACTGGAGGCTCCCCCACACTGCCTGGCACATGGAGGCTGGCAAAGTGTTTAGGTAGGTGGATCTGGAGACCTGGGAGGACAGGATCCTCCTCCATCTCTCTGAACAGCTGAGGAGGAAGGCAACAGAGCTCCAATTCCCTTGGGCATGGAAAAGGGAAGCTGAAAAATGCTTTCTCACAGGAATGGAAGAGATGCAAGGCGAGTTAAGACCTACAAACTCACAGATGATCCTTGACACACCTGTGTCTGAGCGATGGCTTTCCACACAAGGACCCCACCCGAATGTCCTCAGGCCAGGACACCCCTCCTGTGCCAGAGCAGGGAGGGAAGGAAGGAGCACAGGGGATCTCTTGGAAAGGAGCCACTGCTCTCAGGACAGCCCTTCCACACTGGTTCCAGGGCTTCCACTGGTCCTTTGTGCTGGGGTGGAGAAGCTGCAGATCCAGCAGTGTCTCCATGGATCTGAGCTCCCAGCTGTCCCCAGAGGAACACAGACACCCAGAGAATGCTCCAGGCACAGTCCTTGAGCCTTCCAGGCCTCACTGAAGGACAAGATCTGGAGGCATGATACCCACCCCAACCAGGTCTCAAAGGCTGCTGTTCCCTAAGCCCCTTCTGGACAGTCCCCACCATTCTGCTGTTCAAAATCCCATCCCTTATCCATAGGGTGCCTCAGATGGGAGTATTTCAACATTCCCTAACATGGAAAATTACAGAACTCATCTTTCCGTAGGAATTGTTTTTCAACCTCAACTTGCTCCAAATTCAATCACAAACATTTGCCAAGATGGCAACTCCTAACTGAAAGGAATTTTTCCTGTTTCTGTCATCTCTCCTGCAAAGTAAGGACGTGTTCCTGGCACATCACCATGTGGGTTGGGTCACCAGACACGTCTTGGGGGTCAGCACACTCTCCACTGTGATACATCTCATTTCTTGCCTGATGCAGTCACTCAGGTTCCACTGTTTTAATCAGAGGTGACGCTCCTTTGCCTTGAGTTTAATTTGGCCTTTATTTGACAAGGAGACAAACCTGAGGCTCAGCAGCAGCAGCAGCAACAGCAGCTCCTGATCCCCTGGACTTTGTTTCAATACTGGCTGCAAATGCCAACCTGTCCAAGAAGGGACCTGCTCTGGGAAAAGCTCCATCCTGCCAGAAGGAATGGAAACATGGGATCTGCTTGGAAAAAAGCCTCATGACACGCTCGGTGTTTGTCCTCCTCTAGGATCTTATGGAGGGGGCAGAAGGCAGTCCCTGCTGTGCACCCAGGCAGGCTGTGGCTGTGTCTGCAGCCAGAGCTCTGAGGGGAGTCACTCCTTGGTGGCAGTGTCAGAAGGACTCCTCAGAGCCTGTGACCCTCCAACGTCCCTGGAGGTAACAGGGCTGGACTGGAGTGGAGCTGTACAACAACCCTGGCTTTATTGCATGGGTGGACACAACGTCCACAGACCACACACAGCCCAGAGCCTGCGGGAGAGAACCTTGGTGTGACACTGACACATGGCCCCATACCAGCCTCTACCCCCGTGGGTAACTACAGGCCCCAAACCCAGAGTATTAAACATAATATAATATCTGTAATGTGCTTCATGCTTCAGGCAACTCGTGTTTCAGTTAATGCCAGAGGATGCTCAGACATTCTCACGGCAGTCTCTGTAGCCACTGTCTCAGATCCTGGTGTGCTGAGCAGGGGTACGTGATAGGTAAACAACAATGACAAATTTAAATTTCCAAGGGGCAGCATTTTGCTGTAACCACTGTTTGACCTTGTAACTAACAAATAGTCATGTTTCTCCATGAGATGTGATCATGGAGTCATGGAACCATAGGATGGTTTGGGTTGGGAGGGACCTTAAAGCTCATTTCATTCCAACCCCTGCCTTGGGCGGGGACACCTTCCACTATCCCAGGCTGCTCCAAGCCCCATCCAACCTGGCCTTGGACACTTCTAGGGATGGGACAGCCACAGCATCTCTGGGCAGCCTGTGCCAGGACCTGACCACCCTCAGAGGACAGGGACTCCAATGTAGGAGGCAGCACGAGACCACGTGGCTCATTTGGGACATTTACCTCACCTCCACTGTCCGAGGGTCTACCCATGTGGTAACTGCAGAGAACAGCAAGGGTTAATAACCCAAAGCTCTCCAAGGACATGGGAGATGTCCTTGTGCCCTGCCTCTCCCACAGAGTTACTCCAGCAGGAGTCAGAGGCTCTTCTCTGTGCCCCTGGGAACAGGTGGGATGGCAGGAGCCGCTCCTCCAGGGTCTGCTGAGGACACCCACCCTGCTGCCTCACACACAACAGACACTGGTGGAGAGGACACAGATGACTGGAAGTGTGAAGATGCTGAAAAGTCTGAGATGTGTGGATTTGGGGCTGGAAAAGCGTGGAAAGCACTTTGCTAAAGCCAGGACAAATGCATTATTCCTCCCTCCGTGCCCCACACCTTCCCTAACACACAAGTTCCTTTAACTAAGTTCCTGTAGCCTTCTGTCTCAGGGAGAAGAAGTGAATACAACACCAGTCTACAGCACTATTAATTTTTTATTAAAAAAAAAATCTATTTAAATTGTGAGTTATAACAATCTCTGTTTTCATGACCATTCCCATCACCAAAGAAAATTGACTGGAAAGTTATAAGCAGGTTTGTTGCTTTAGGTTTGCTCTCTATAGGATCCCTCTGGCAACTCAATGGAATCTTAGAGGTCTTTTCCAACCTTAATGATTCTATGATTCTATGAAAAAGTGCCACAAAGCCAGAAATTTCACCCTCCTCTTATAAATCCTGGCTCCACTTATATTTAAGAGCAACTGGTAAATTCCTCCTCCTCTGTCTTTCCCACACTTAAAAATCCAGTTATTCTTCTTTCCAGTGAAAGTTTTGAAATTGGTGTATGATTTGGTCCAGAGCCTGAGGCTGAAATCTCAGCTCCATTGAAATCAATGAGCATCTCTGGGCAAGGCTGTCTTCCCAATACTCAGATTGCTAAAACAACTGGGCTGGGCTTTTGCCACGATGCTGGAGGTGCCCATGCATGTGGCTACACAAACACTCACCTGAAGAGCACAACAGCTCCAGGTAATGCACATGCAAATATCCAATATTAAAATCCAGGGGCTGAAGTGCCTGGATTTGCCAAACCTAGTACTCTATGAACACTAGCCGGTTTGCAAACAATGTAATTGGAGTAGAATTGCTATTGTGTTTGTTTGTTTTGAATATTTTTGGCCAGGAAGTTGTCCTGGAGGTATAGTTGAGCATAAGTGGTCTGGTGGAAAAATGTCATTCATTCTGTTCCTATTAAGACCAAAAACAATAGCCACACAAAGACAGCAGCGACAATTTCTGCTCTTCATGCCTCTAACAATGTGTTTTCAACCCTAAAGGCAACATCTTGTTTGTGCCCAATTGATTCTGGGATCATATTTTATATAATCAAATATATCTTTGAACAAAGATATATTTTATGAACAGCTCAATTTCCAGATGACCTTGGAAACAGCAATTCATAAAATATAGCTTTATCTCTATCTTCACAATCAGCTAGAAATATTGCCCACCCATGCTCTGTGGACTGCCAGTCCAGACCCAGCCAACAAAGAAATTACCCCAAGCATCCAAAACTTTAAAATACATTAATCCTTTGTTCCAGTCACTGAGCACTAAGCACAAATTACTTGCCCTAGAACCCTGGTAGAGACCCGAGTGGCATCCATCATCTTTCAATCACCAAAGGAAAGTGATTGAAAAACTCACCCCAGGAGACAAAACAATCTAGGTTAGCAGAAAAAACCCTCATTTCATTAAATGTTTATTATGAAATCTGTACATGAAACCATATATAGACCCCTTACGTCATGGCAAAGCTAAAGGCTAAAAGCTTTCAGATTACAGGGGAAGATTTGCAGATGCAAATGACCATTAGTGGAATGTCATTGGTTCTAGAAAGGGATGAAAAAAACCCTACTGGATGTTTTACAGCTTTATGAATCACAGGACACTGTGCTTTAAAACACAGGGGAGAACAGCTCAGTTAGAGGGGAGCTGAAATTCCTCTAACAGGGACTGCCTGTGCCACCTGGGCTCTCCCAAGGATGGGAGAACAGCAGACAGACCTTCTTGGACTGGTGGGAGCATTGCAGGGAGAAATTCTTCCCTGTGAGGTTGGTGAGGCCCTAGCACAGGTTGCCCAGAGCATCTGTGGCTGCCCCATCCCTGGAAGTGTCCAAGGCCAGGTTGGACAGGGCTTGGAGCAACCTGGGGTAGTGGAAGGTGTCCCTGACCATGGCAGGGGTGGAATGAGATGGTCTCCAAGGTCCCTCCCAACCCAAACCATTCTGGGATCCTGATTCTATGACTCAGGAAAACCTGCAAAACCAGGAGCTACTGCAAGGTGTGTGTCCAGCACAGCCCCAAACACACACAGCCAGTCCTTCAGGTAAATCGGGACGTGGGCTGCAGCAAACAGGCGAACGTGACCCGGTCCCTGAGTGAGGTGCCAGGTCTGCCACACAAGCCTGTCCCTCCTGCCCAGCCCTGTGCCCATCACGAAGGAGCAGGGCTACACTCAGTCCAGCACTTGTGCACTTCTCTTTCCTCCCCTCTCAGCACATTGTGCTCAAATGGGATGAGGAGCCCAGGGGGGGAAACTGATGAGCTGAGATCTGAGGTCAGCAGGAACCACAGAGCACCTCACTGCAGAGGAACTGGTCACCCCAGCCCACTCCAGCCCCATCCCATCCCATCCCATCCCATCCCATC